TTGACAAGGAAAAAAAAAAAAAAAAAAAAGATGAGTGTATCATCCCACATTGACACACCACAGTCAGTATTGACACTAAATCAGTATTGATACTAAATTATCCTTTCCCCCTCATTTGTCCTCTGTAGTGCCATTATGAAACAGTCTACAGGCCTATACATTAGTAAAAGTAACAAAGAAAAGAACAAATTAGATATTCAGCAGCTGTCAGTTTTACAGATTGCAAATAACTATATTTTACGAAACGTGTGTAACATCAAGATACAATTGAAATAATCTGAACAAATGCCTTAGTGAACAGTGAATATCCTGGCCTACCATGTGCAAAACACTGATAAGAGAATACATCCAGTGTGTGTGTGTGTGTGTGTGTGTGTGTGTGTGTGTGTGTGTATGTGTATGTGTGTGTGTGTGTGTGTGTTTGGGCAGACCCAGTTCATTATCTACACAACCTTGAGGACTGTTGACAGCAATAGCTGTTAGTATTGCTGCCTAAAATGTGATTTAGATTTGAGTAAAACAAATGTGACAAACATATTGCAGACACCTACATTATGGCAATATTATAACAATTTGTGGTTTAGCGCTATAATAATAACAATAATAATAATAATAAGAAGAATGAACTAATAATAATATGATTTTTAAGAAGTAACCACTGTTGAATTTTGAGTCTTAGTTATTAGGCTTCTAGGCATGGCTCTTTGTGAAACTGATTTGCAATTATACTTTTGTGCACTGCCTGAAGTAAATTACCTCCAACACATCTGTCATTGGTTCAGCACTGAAGACTCCAGGGAGAGACTCCGACATGAAGCCTCCTTCAAATGTTTCATCCCTGATCAATCCCCTAACCAGACTAGATTTAACATGCCAATTTGATCTATGAACACAAGCTATTATATCACAGCGGTAGTATATGCGGGCCACAGGGAATGTTAGAATATGGAAATCTACAATGTAACCTCTGGGCTTGATCATATAGATATGTTACATATCAAATAATTCAGAAACAGATTTCCAATAAAAATTATATTTGTGACTGCTGTAAAAAAAAAAAAAAAAAAGGTTTATGCAGAATACTTTACATAAATGATGACTGTGAGTGTGCTTTTAATAAGTGCATTTTATTATCAGAGCTGGTAAATAAATTATTTATTTGTTCAATTTTACAATCAGAACTAGTTTAATGATGTAGCTCCATTGGGACTTATAAAGGGTTAATCACTGAAGGAGATTAATTATCCTCTCTGAACAGAATCCATCAGGGCATCTATTAATTCAAGAACAAGTCAAAGGAAACCACTATGTGTAAGCTTCCTGTCTTCTGTGCATAATCGCTGCGAAATGTTATCAATGTTACACCACATTAAAAAAAAGGAATTTGCTGATTTTAAGGATACTTTCTCGTAAATTTCTATAGAACATTTCTAAAAATTCTATATAGAATTTTTTTTGTAAAAACAAATATCTGCAAATGTTTGTTTTTAAATGTACAGTCTTAGTTTTAAGCACACCTTTATTATCCCCAAATGTAATATCACATTTGGACAAGCACCAAATAATTATTGACACGAGTCAGCACACATTATAATCTATAATACTTTATTTTTTTATTTTTTTTATTTTTTTTAAATCAGATAATACATGGCAATCATGCTTTTATATACCACCATCTAAAGACATGAATATATATATATATATATATATATATATATATATTACATATCAATATTTTACATTAGCCCCAAACAGTTAGAAATATACAAAACAATATTTTATTTGACTAGACATTATCTATTCTCTTATAATCGTCCATCATTGTTATTCATTTGTTATTATTACTATTCTTTTTTACATTTCAGAAAGATATGTGCTTTATATAGTTTCTGAGATCGATGCATTATTGCAGTAAACAGCAAATAATAAGGTTCTTCAACAAGACAAAAACCTCAAAACGGACATTCACAGGTACTTTTACACGGTACAGGTTTACAACATTGTTTCAGAGAGAAATCTGATGAATGGTAAATTTATACAATTTCACGAAAAACTCTTACTGATTGCACATTTTTTTCATCAGAAGTCTTGCAGAGAATAAATCGACTAATTAATTCAGATCTCTGTCACATGTAGCTGCCACAAAAGCAAACTAACAGTGCTCTTTTACAGATACCTTCGTGGCTTGTGAACTTAAAGCTGTGCTTTTCACCAGTGGCATTTCAAAATAAAACAGTGGAAATAAAACAATCACTTCTCTCTGTTTCACGCACACACACACACACACACACACACACACACACACACACACACACACACACACACACATATATCTCTCTATATATGATCTCATGTCAATTATTTAGAGCCTTCTCTCTGTTTCACGCACACACACACACACACACACACACACACACACACACACACACACACACACACACGTATATCCCTTTATATGATTTCATGTCAATTATTTATTGCCCAAATAGTCTGTATATTTTAAAAGAAAACAGTATAATTTCTCCTTGACATATTTTCATTCGAACAACGGCTCTGTCAGTTTTTGACACAGAGTGCTGGTTTGTCAATGATGTCTGACAAAACGACCCTAGAAACCATGACAACAGACTATAGCTTCTGCTCAGAAGTGATTATTTGCTGAAGGCTGCTCACAGCTATAATCGTTTTTGATCCAGGAGAGCAAATTTTGGTCACTTTCGCCATTTTTCCTGAGGAGTGGCATGCAAATGTGGTGAGCAGGATTAACAGTGGTTTCTCGGGGTACCTCTGCCCCAATAATGACTTTTCGGACCCTGTGCAGTGATATGGTGCGACGTAAAACAGTTTTTCAGATCAGTCAGTAGCATAAACATGAATTTGGTCCTTCTTACTCTTACATAGAAAATATGTACTAAAATGATTCTAAAAAACACATACAAAGTTATTTTTGTCTTAGAAAAAAAAAAGAAAAAAAATTGTAACAGTCTTTTTTTATGTCAATTTGCCCCTGTGGCTGGTAATTCATTACTGCCTGGGGCTTTTGTAAACCCAAATCCATACTGGTCTTGTGCTTTTCAGGGTTTGCCCGAGAGCTAAACAGGAGAAGGGCTGTTTTAAACTGTAGAGTCTTGAAAAGTGTAGTCTGGCTACGTAACCTTGATATCCAAGGTTCATCTTGCCCCGTTGCACGCTCCCATATTCTCGCTCCCTGCTTTTATATAGATATATAGATGTATATCTATTTTTTTATGATACAATTTGATTCTAACCTACAACTGTATTTTTATATTTTAATACATTAATTACATGTAATATCAAATTAACACCGTGGTGTTGAAATTACATTGGGATTCCAAATCTTGAATTATCATTTAAATTATATCCTCTGGTTACACTGTTACACTTTTCTTCTTGTTGTTCTTCTTTAGAAAGAATAATATCTTGCATATGAAATAGAGATTAACCCTAGAACATTGCTGGAAAGATTTTTTGGACCCTATGTATATGTGTACCAAAACAATTCAGACTGTAATCAGGTTGGTTTTCCCTCGGAGGTAGGTGAATATACTCTAGACATGGAAGTCCTTGGTTGTGATCAACCGTGATTACTTTTTGCTTCTCTCTCTGAACATTGACCTTTGATCATACAGGGTGAAGCAGGGGCAGGGGGTTAGATGTAGGCCTCATCATTGGCTGGAGTTCAACCTACTGTCTGCTTGGAAAAAGGAAATTTACTCATTGAATTCTTAGAAAAAGTTGCATGTTTACCATAGAACCAGGATATGGAGATGCATTCAAAGAACACCAGGAACAGCAGACACATTCCACTGGCAGAATAGTAGTCGAACAGTTTGAACACATAGAGGCCACCCTATCGAGAAAAGAATTACCATGATTAGCGAGAGATGTGGTTCATTTACACTGGTTTTGAAAACCAGCTGTAATCTAGTTAGCACTGTTTGGGTTCAAAGGCATGGTAGCAGCAATGAGCATTAGTGAAACAAGCTTTCTCTTTCCTGCTTTGAGTCACAAGATTGGCCTGAAAAGTATGTAGTTTTTGGGTTAGGATTATTCATCATCGCACACCCAATGGTTCAAATTGCTGTATTACCACAAGCACTTGTGCTCCTTATTAAGGTCAAGATGAAATGATGTTCAAAATAAGTTTTACTTCTGTAAAGTAAGGTTTCTTAGTCGAGCTGCTTGTGCAGCAAAAAAATAAATAAATAAAAAATACAAATGGATTCATGAAAAGGGTCAATATACTGTAAAATGAACTGATGAATCGTTTACAATGAGACCATATACAAGGTCTCACCCAAGACAAACCCAAAAAATCTTATTCCATCAGGACATTTCAAACAGGACAGTCCCTGAGACAGTGCTTCAAGAATCTAGTCATAGTCTGATATTTGAGCAATTTTACATTTGACACCTAAAGTGGAAAATGTGTACTTACTGTGGTGAATGAGTTATACAGGTAGTAAATTGCCCAAGCGATTATGACTATGTAGTAAATGTTAAGCCAGAACGACAGGACTGCTGCTGCCAGGCCAACACCTACGGAGACATGTGCGCTAAAATAACTCATCATTTTTTTGGCAAGGGCACAGTACCATTGAAATTTACATCGGCGGCGAGCTATTATGCAATGACACCATAATTTACACGCTTCTAAAAAAAGAGCATGGAGTAATTAATCTGAGGGTTATTTGTGGTTGCTTTCATGATTACCTTTGAACATAGGGGCCAGTTTCCACACTCCAAGACCACCAATGGACGTGTACTGACCGAGGGCCGTTTCCAGAAGAAACAACGGGACCCCAGCAAATATGAGCGTCAAAAAGTAAGGAATCAAGAACGCCCCTATACAGACAGAAGAGTAATATAATGAGACATATTCAAACATGTATCCAATTTTAAAATCCACTGTTTATGATCTCTGCGCTTCCAATGGTTGCGCACTTCGCGCATATCGTGGACAAAAAGCGTATATTTTGTACATGTTTTTCGTTCATTACGAAATCTTATTTATTTTACTTTCATTTTTTATTTATTTGAATCCTTTTGTTTAGAGGGGGGAAATACATGGTAAACACAAGCAGGAATGTTCTTTACCGCCTCCGTTTTTTCCACATAGATAGGGAAATCTCCAGACATTGCCAAGTCCAATGGCATAGCCAACACAAGACAGAAGAAAGTCAAATTTTCCCTGCCACGTTTCTCTGTCGGGAAGTTCCTTTTTCGTCTGAACTTTCACCACCAGAGTTTTTGGTTTGTCATTGGCGGTGGGCGCTTCGTTCAGCTCTGTTAAAACGTGTCCATCGGATGCTTTCGTGCCGTTCGTGGCCATGTCTCTGGGTTTGGTCCTGGCAGTGGGACGGGAGAGTTCAGCACCGGTCCACGTAGACAGCAGCTTCGCGGTTCGCGTAACCCACGACTAGAGTCAAAAAACGCCAAAGAAGCTTGACACTGACCTGGAAATGTTGGAGAGAATGTGAGTTTAGATATACACATTGTTTCACGTGTGCTTGGTGTTCGTCAGATGCATTCGATATCATTTTATCAACACAATAATACTGTAATAAAAAATTATTAAATATAAAATGAGATACAGATATCCTACAAAATAAAATACCAGTTGGCGCACGTGTGTTAGGCGCGCGGCATTAAAAAAAAGCCCAGGCTAAGCGCGTCTGTCCACATTTCTTTATTTTAAATTACCGAAAGAACCAATTTTGTACATTTCTGTTATCTAAAACGTTAACGGTGCCTACGGTTTATTGGGGAATGGTTTACTAAAGGGCAAAGTAATTGCATTTCTTACTTTATTTAAATTATTCAACGGGTTAGGTTTAGATCATCTTCTCTCGAATCCAAATAATAGATCTCGCTTTGATTAAGTCAGACAGTTCGAATAATCTCGTCAATTTCTTATTTGGTTTACATCCAGGTAAAATCAGCAAAGATCCCGGCGCGCGCACACTTCGGTGAGCTCGCGCTGAAATGCGGGCTCAAAAAGTCTTTTTAGCAGGACAAATGAATGCTTGGTGATTGCCAGACTAATCGATAATACAGAAAAATAAATAAAATACGTCCTACTAGCATGCACTAACATGCAGACTGTTAGTCTGAACTGCGCGCACAAACACCGCGTTTCACAAGCACAGCATTTCAGACGGACGTGTGTTAAAACAGTTCGTTATAAATGCATAACTTTCAAACAACTTTGCTTATGCCTTTCCATGCCTATTACAACTATGAAGGCAAACGCATTACTTTTATATCAGTCAAATATGATCTACTTACACTGGAACAGTTTTCCTGCCAGACCAGTTGGCGCACGTGTGTTAGGCGCGCGGCATTAAAAAAAAGCCCAGGCTAAGCGCGTCTGTCCACATTTCTTTATTTTAAATTACCGAAAGAACCAATTTTGTACATTTCTGTTATCTAAAACGTTAACGGTGCCTACGGTTTATTGGGGAATGGTTTACTAAAGGGCAAAGTAATTGCATTTCTTACTTTATTTAAATTATTCAACGGGTTAGGTTTAGATCATCTTCTCTCGAATCCAAATAATAGATCTCGCTTTGGTTAAGTCAGACAGTTCGAATAATCTCGTCAATTTCTTATTTGGTTTACATCCAGGTAAAATCAGCAAAGATCCCAGCGCGCGAAGTGTGCGCGCGCCGTCAGTGAACTCGCGCTGAAATGCGGGCTCAAAAAGTCTTTTTAGCAGGACAAATGAATGCTTGGTGATTGCGAGACTAATCGATAATACAGAAAAATAAATAAAATACGTCCTACTATCATGCACTAACATGCAGACTGTTAGTCTGAACTGCGCGCACAAACACCGCGTTTCACAAGCACAGCATTTCAGACGGACGTGTGTTAAAACAGTTCGTTATAAATGCATAACTTTCAAACAACTTTGCAGATGCCTTTCCATGCCTATTACAACTATGAAGGCAAACGCATTACTTTTATATCAGTCAAATATGATCTACTTACACTGGAACAGTTTTCCTGCCAGTTTGGTTGTGGCGGTGCGTATCCGTTGGTTCCTCTCCAATTCGAACACTTGGAATTTTACTTGTCCAAACCCGTGCAAAATGTTTCCATAAAGTCAAGTGAAACGAACAGCTATCCTGAGGGGTAAGGTGAACGAGGGTCTGGTTGCCTGGTGCTGTCCAATTCTGTGGTGCTGAAGGACAGGGGGAAAGAGCCAGAGACAGGAGCAGCTCCGTCTACCATGAGCGTCCAGAGATGTTACATGAAGCACAGACCGTCACTCTCAATGTCAGCTGAAAGTCGACCCTCCCCAAACACAACATCCCTACCACTGAATCCCAGACACTGGGCAGCCTCTCTTCTCAATGCTTTTTATATGCTTTGTATATGTTTTTTTTCTCCCTCAATTGGTCTTTGCGTGACTGAGATCATGTGTCTAATCAGATGACTGACACTGCCCACTCACTGTAATTACTTTTTGCAAATCATTTATTCATTCATCTATTTTATTTATGTTACTCTGTTACTCTTCTCAGAAGTGTTATGCGTATATCTTTATTTCATAAGTCTGTTCATGCAGAATTGCAGACCACAAAATACAAAAATACAAGTAGGTTGCAATTTTAAAGCAGTCTCTTGTTATTAAATGAATTTGCATGTCCTAGATAAGAACAACTTCGACTACAATGTGTGGTTTTCACAAGTAATGATAATACGGTGTAAAATAAATCTCAGCAAAGTTGGCAAAAGAAAATAAATAATTGATATATATATATATATATATATATATATATATATATATATATATATATATATATATATATATATCTTTTTTATATATATATATATATATATATATATATATATATATATATATATATATATATATAAACATGTATATATAATTCTTTTATTTATTTGTATTTTTTGCATGTGTGTGAGAGTTTTTATCAGATGACTGACGCTGTAATTATTTTTAGCAAATCATTTATAATTTTTTTGTCATTTATCTAGTTTAAATTTTAATTGTACAACAGTGTTTTGTGTGTGTGTGTGTTTGCGTGTATGTGTGTCATCTAAGTACATTAGCAATAATAAGTATATTTATAAGCATGTGAATGTCTCAGCGCAGTTACACTGCAAAATGTGTGACCAAACAGTATATTTGCCCTAATCATCCCGAACCTGAAACTTCTTCTCTTCATACATTTTCATAGTTCAAAACTGGATAAAACGAAGCTAGAACAATGCATAACAGCAAACACGTTTTGGGTTGAAAAAGGCCTGAACTAATTTACTCTCTGAAAAACAGCAGTTTCCAAAGTGTCAGATTGGGATGACCATGCCGGTCATTCTCTGGATTCTGGTAAACAGTGATAAGGAAGTCAGTCAGTAAGTAGAGTCTGGGGGCGGGAGATAAATTGAAAACTGGTCTTATAATCTTCTTAGCTGACTGTCTCCCAAAAAAAAAAAACCTGCGGAGAAACCAAAAGGAACGCTCTGCACAGAAGTTAGCTCCTATACAACCATAATTTAGAAGTCTGTAATTAGATGTTAAACATTCACAGATCAAGAAGCATTCAGACAAGATGAGAATCATTGATTAAGGATGACAATGTAAATAGGCAGAAGTAGGTCCATCTGCAACATTCGTCTTTAGGACCTGTCATCTCCAGCACTGCTGATGTTCACGTCATACATCTTTAATGCTTCGTAGTGTATGACATCAAATCAGAAGGGTGGTAGCAAGAAACATCTGTCTAGAGCTTCTGATTTTTCAGTCTGCAAAAAAAAAAAAAAGTACATTATCATGGTACATAGTACTGACATTATTTCAGTGTTAATATTCTTTCAATCTCAGCTAAATTGGCAGAGACAACTATAATATTTACATACATATGCTTTTATCCAAGTGACTAACAGTGCATTCAGGGTATATATTTCGTCCGCATGTTTGATCCTTGGGACTTGAGTCTATTAGACTACATGCTGATTCTGCAGAAAGGTGTAAAGGCCCAAAGGACGATAACTGTAACATTAACTATAATTATATAATTTTAATAATCAATCTTATTTTATGAGAATAGGGAAGTCCACACTACAGCTATAACGATAATGACACAGAAGAACAATGTCACTGGAATCACTTTCAGAGTGATCTTGAATGATCGGAATTATTTACCAGCACCAAGGTCATGGGTTTGATTCCGAAGGAATGCATGCATTAACTGATCAAATGTAAATGTGTACCCTAGAACACAAGTCACTTTAAATGAAAGCATCTGCCAAATGTGTGAATATAAAAAATTGACAACCAGCCTTGGTGTTCAGGAAACATGCTTGCAAACAAACATTCTTTTTGCAGTTCTGTCTGGTAATGCTGCTGGCACAGAAATCAGATTGATTGATTAATTAATAAATTATACGAATTCAGAAATTGAACTTAATTTCATGTAACGTCATATGATGTATTGTCGTTTATATCTGAAGTTTACAGCAGTTCACAGCAGCTTTGCAGTTCAATGAGCCATAGATTAGAGTCAGATATACCAATGAAGCTTTACACCGACCTTCATTGCATTTCCCAAAAACACTGTAGGCCTGCGGAGATGGTAGAGATAATTTGTGCAATTTTGTTACCACTGGTTATTGGTTACAATGCTTTTAGGAAATGCAACCCTGGACAAGAATGAGATTAAATAGATATACACATTGTTTCACACTTTTGACACAAAAAATACTTTTTGTGTCAATATTTATACAAATTATTTTAATAATAATAATAAAGACAACCTATACTAATCAGAAAGGTTGGAGCAAATCATGTCAGTCTATTCAAGTCACAATGAACACTGGTACTTAATAAATGTTCAGCATTATGCTATTATGAATTCAGTTTCCCTCATACGAATCAAAATTAGATGAAAAAATGACGTAACTATGGAAAGTTAATTAATGAATAACATTAAACATGTAAACTGTTTACCAATTATTTCTAGTAGAATGACATAACAATGGCCACGTCGTCTTGTTCCACTTCAGCAACAACCATGCAGCAATGCTGTTTCGGTAAACCAGTGGTGTCTTTGAGAGGCATCAAAGATCAAACTTCTGTGTTTCACACTCAACTGCAGCATAGTGGAGGGATGAAAAGCCTGAGCTGATGGCAGATGGTGAGCCAATGAGGGGTGAACTAACCTACTAATGATACAAAATGAAATTTTGCATTTAGAACCCATCTGGTTTATTCACCCTCTGGGGATGGAGAGCGCAGACATTGCCACACATTTGTGGACCTGTAGTGAGAATCAGAGTGTCTGGCAATTGTTGGTGGCACACATGGTTACTCAACTGTGCAATGAATCTCATAACAGCAAAGGGTGGCAGTGATTTCCACCTTCTGGACCGGGATATCTATCCCTCTGCATTGTGGACCAATTCATTCTACATCAGTGAATGCTTCATGCTTTCTACTGTATACAGTTAGGTTCCAAAATTAGACCCCTATAATTATGATATCTTTTATCTAACGCTTGATCTGTTTATGGGTTTAGTGGTAGTGTTAGACATGAAGACATTAGAAAGAAGTTTTGACGAGACATGAAGCTCTCAAAAACTCCAAATCCCTAAACATAGTGACTGGGAAATGATATAAAACATAGTCAAGCAGAGTGTTAATTGTGCTACAATGTTTATTTTCTCTGTTGTTTTGATTATAATAAAAACAGTAATTTCTGTGTGCTGTGCGTGATCTGAGATTCTGAAACAGATTCATTCAATGTGCTCTTGTTCTCGTGTTCTTATAAAACATTCAAACAAGATGCATAACATCATAATAATGTAAGTGTTCTACTAACACATTTTAATCATTTGCCTGCAAGACAAGTTTGTAATCAACAGAAATAAGTCTGGCAAGCTGGTTTAGGCCAACTGATAAATGGCATCATAATATTAGCCATTGAATGAACAATGATACATTACATTTGCCCTTTTTTTTGCTTTCATTCAGTCATGCACAATATATGTTTGGTTTGCAAGGGGACTAGATCCAGACAACATTACTTCTTTCACCCATTCAGGCGGAGAAAACAAAGGCTTGAGATGTCACATCTCTTTATGCATGACACCCCAGGCCCCAGAATGTGGGCTCTCTTCATTGGTAGGGCAGTCAGGTAGGCTGCATGGAGTCCCGCAGAAGAGGCTCAGCGCTGGGTTTCCGCTCTGGCTGAAAGACTAGGGACAGACTGGCGTGTCTGTTGCTGGGCGATCAACAAGGTGGTCAGGGACCAGTTCAATAGAGAGGAATAAAAAAAAAAAACTGGGAATGGGCACAAAACAAACAGATACCTCTTCCCACAATACAGAAATGGGAATGTGAGTGCGGTGGTAAACTTGTTTTAAAGAGGCTTCTCTTTTGACTTTGGGACATTATCGCCATTGCAAAAGTGGCACATATTGTGTTTTCTTAATTTGGAATGTGTGACCTCACGGTTAATAAATCTCAGCTTGCATGACTCTTAAAGATTTATTAGGATAATAGTTAACATAAACATTACAAACAGTAACTGCAGCCATTATATGATCTGTAATCTGCTAAATAGTATATGCTGTGAGCTCCAGAATTCCCCAAAGTGTCCGTTAGGTCTGGCCTTCATAAAGAGACAAGCATTTTCCTTAACTTTCACTGTACTATTTCTCGCTACTGGAATGATCTTGCCACTCCTGCTGAACATCCTTTCTTCCATGAACATTGATTTAAAGCTGTAAATGTACTGAATATTTCTTAATAATATTAAGCTATTCTTCATCTGTTGCCTAACTATCTCTCACCTTCATGTCTAGCCTGTACTATTCTGAGCAATTTGGGAACTGAGCATTCCTCATGTTACTGCTTCCCTCAGCTGAATCTTGTTGTATTCCTCATTTATACAGTGATTTACATAAATTTATATATATAAAAGAATACCTCTATAGATGTAAATTATATTTACACTGTGACAGTTTGTGCTCTTTCAATCAAAAAATGCCATATACTCAGCACGGTAAATTAAACTGATTGGTCATTGTCTAATTTCTTATGGATTTTGGTTAATTTTTACTGAGCTGATTATTTCAGACTTTATTAGCCCCATGAATCTCATTGCATCCTCCTGTATTTATTGTATAATATATCTCATTTGTTTAAATCTCATGCCACATAGGGAGAGAGGAGAAAGCTAATCCAAGGATGTTTTTGTCTTTATGTATTGGTAGTTTTATCCTGTTTTTATAATAATTTACTACCTTGTTGGGTGAAGGCACATTTCCACATGATTTTTGGTCTTCTAAAACAATTCAATTCATTTTTA